TGGCCAAACTAAACTAGCCACCACCAAAAGTTTAGCAATACACAAAATTTACTTCACTCAAAATCAGAGCATCTCAGGGATTCAATATACTAATGAAACCCTTCGATTTAAAATGCAACCTTTTTAAAACTTGATTGGTTACATGGTGTAACATGTTTAATGCATAAATAATACATCAGGCATACAGTGCTCTGGTGTTTTACCTGTCAGCATTAGGAGCAATGGCACGACAGCCTGATGTAGCTGTAAGTATGTCATCGCTAGCTGGTGCATCACTACCTACACCCTCTCTCCTTTCTTTTGCCTATAAAGAATAGAAAATAGTGCACGCGTTATACATGTACATGTTCATAACATTTATACATAGACACGCATGTGCATGCATTAATTGCTACAAGTACTGATGTCGCATACACTTACATACAATGCATGCAAAAGATTGCATTACCTCTTGCTCATTATGCACACAGGATGGATACTACAGGAAGCTTGCATGAATACAGTACATGATGTTACCGGTCATGTACGTGCATATTAAATGTTCAAGTATACAGGTACAACATACATACCTGCCGAACCCTCTAAAACAGGGACACTTTTATAATCAGGCGGGACCGACACTGTAAGCATACCACATGCATTATAAACGTGCATTAACAAGAGTCCAAGGCTCTTGGTATTAATAACTGAAAAGACGGACAATACCATAATCAGTAGAGTTTCATTGGGTCTCAAAGTGTACAGGTTTGACTGTCAGGTCAATTACACTTATTACTTACCCTGTCCCAATAGTTCTTGGACCATTCAGCAATTCTCTCGTCTTCCTCTTTGCGCAACTCGGCCCACCACTCACTGTTAGCACTAAACACAAACAGCAATTTACAACAATATCATTAATAGTCTACGCACCTGTATAGCGTCACTCGCACTGCATAGTGTAAAACCAACAGCAATCAGTGCCTAATAATCCAGTTGGCCGTACTTTTAATGCTAATTAATACATGCATGCAAGACTGCATCCGTAATTATGCAAATTCCTCATTTCATAGGCTGATTAAAACAGGCAATGTACATGTACATGCATGTAATGTCAAAATATTTAAACAGTGAATCGCCAATGACTGTTAAAAATCAGAAACAATGAATCTAATGGGAATGCCGGTAGACATTACACTGAAAAGTTGCAATTATAGTCTGACTTTCAAAATAGCAACAGCATATACGTGCAGTGACAATACCTGCATACATATGTACATGTACAAGGGTAGCTAAAACTAAGTAATTCCTTCCTTAAACATTGACGACACTATTCCAATACACGAGACTATCCTTCCACGGCACGTGCGCACATACCTTGATCACAAACGCTCAAGCGTAATGTGACACGTGCTGGGTTGAGATTACGCAGCGTAAATGTACATGTTTGCGTAACATATGCCAAGAATGCAATAGGCAAATCGTCACTAAAAAAAACATTACAGAAAGCACGAAATCAGTACCCACCCGCCAAACCCCAGACATGAAGAGTTCAATGGAGTCGTATACATGTCAACTTTAGTACCCATTATACGTGCGTATTACGATGAATCATTACAATACGTGATACTAACCTTTTCCTTCTTGGTTTGAATTTATTAGCTTTTGATGCATTACTAAAGTAACACAAAAATGTACTATATCATAAAACCGAATATACGTCGGTGGCTTTTTCAGACCCGGGTGCCTCCTTTGCCACGACTCCACCAGCAGCAGCTGTTGTTGCTACTCCTCC